CCTCCACCCTTATCACTGTGTCCACCCCCGCCCCTCCCTCCGCTCCTTGTCTCTCTCACTACTCCACCCCCTCCATCTTATCACTCTCTCTGTTTTTCCACCGATATCCACCACACTCACTCGACGGACTGCGATACATCGTTCGTTCTCTCTGCAACCAACCAACCAGGGGTGGGGCGGCAACCAACCAACCAGCTGTGTCTACATGTCTACGGCCCATCCACCACTTTGACCCACAGACAGACACATCTCCCACTTGTAGACACGCGGCTGAGCTGGATCTTCTTGATGTAGCTGAGCGCGAGTGCCTCCCTCTCGGCAGCCAGGGCAGCGTAGTAATAGTGCTCTGATGACTGTTGGGAGCGGCCTTCGGTCTTCTCCCTCTCCCAGAGAGCGTACGCCCCCAACAACACCCTGCACACACACAGGGGAGACACACACAGAGACACAGACACACATCGATGTGGGGGTGTCTCGTGTGTCTCGGCCAGTGAAAGACTGACGGCAGCCCCCTTACATCGAGTCGAAGCTCTCGCGGCTGAGGCCCGCCTCGATGATGAGGCGGCCCTTTTCCGCAGAGACGCTCCGCTCGTAGTGCTGCTGGGGCGACTCGTGACGGCCCACCGACGACAGGGAACGCTCAAACGCAGCCTTCTTGACGCTGCATGACAAGGCAGACAGACAGACAGACAGGGGAGACACACACACATCCATAGAAGGTGTGTTTGATGGTGTGTCAGTGAGGTGTGCGTGTTGGCTTACTACGCAGTGAAGGCGTCCTTGGGGGTCGGGCACACCAGCTGCCTCGCCTGCACGGTGTTCGCTGTGGGGGACGGTCTGTTTTTGGGGGGTTGGGTGTTGTGGGTGGGTAGGTGGTTGGCCTCCTCCGCCGGGGGTGTCGGGTGGGGCGGCTGGCTGGGCTGGTTGGCGGCCTCTGTGCCCTGTGTGGCGCCTTGGGTGTTGGTGTTGGTGCTAGTGCCGCCAGACGTGCTATCATAATCTGCAACCATCAATCAGGCCACACACCATACACATCAACACAACACAATGGGAAATGACCCGTGACCAACTGAGACAGCAAGTAGCGTGTGGCTGGCTGACTTACCGAAGTCTGGGTGCACCGGCATCAGTGCTCCGACCATGCCCGGCAGGTCGAGTATCGGGGCTGTCATTATCGTGGCCGACCAGCTGACGATTTATCAATCTCGCGTGTCAGCGGCGGCCTCTCCTCCTTGGTCGTCTCCTTGAATGGCGAACGCCCTCGTGTGTCGCGGGCGCGTCAGTCACTGGCTGCGCTGGCTGCAGTGCAGTGCACTCACTGCCGACTTATCTGAATTTCTTGGCGGCGGCAGGGTGCAGGCTGTTGCGAGAAAGGAGGCTCACAGACGCGTTCGTATTGTTTGCACGGCTGTGTGGGCTGGACGGCGCTTGGAAGAGAGCGTTTCTTGGCGGTTGTGGCGAGGGCTGAGGAAAAGCGAGAGCGCACAGCCTCTTTTGCCGTCTCCGTCTCAAAATTCTCGCCGAACGGAAATTTACTTCCTGGCAAGCAAGCGCTCGGCAGCTCTTACGTGTGCACAATCGGTGTGCGCAGGTGGAAGCCACTTGTTTCTAACATGTGTGCTGTCGATAGACGCCACGCGACATCCACTGGCAAAGCCGGAGAGACACTCCCGGCTTTGGTGTGCGCGAAAGCGGCAAGGGAGAAGGAAGGCCCTCGTGGTCATGGGCGACACAGCAATGACGTCCACCGACGAGACGAACACTGTATCTAGTCTCGGTCAATGTTGCCCCATGATGGTGGGTGGATGGGTGGACGGGATGGGGAGGTGGGAAGGATGGGCGCATCTTAAGGATTCGCTGTATGTTAACAAATTGTCATTGATCCGGTGGGTATGGTAGGGATCAACTCTTCGCGAGGCCACCAACCGTCAAACAGACAGAGAGACAGAGAGACAGACAGACAGACAGACAGACAGAGATAGTCGGTCGGATGCATGGGTGCACTGGGTGGATGTCCCATTCATTCATCGTTGCCTAGCTGCGCTTCATATTCTGCCGTCGCATTATACAATTGTGTGGAATGTCCGTGTCAGTCAGCAGAGGCACCGCAGACACAAACACACGCCACGTACACATCGATCTCAAGATAGCTTGTACGTGTGCACACATGTACACAGCAAAGACTGTACGAATACAGACAGCATCGATCAGTGAGTGCTTCATCGTCATTCACTCTCATTCTGACGTCAATCATAATCATGATGAAACTGGCGATGACTGTCCTGTTGCTCCTGTCTGTGTGTGTGGTGTCTCGCGCCACTGCGGCCGCCAACCCGCCCTTCAGCATCACAGTCAACGGCGCCAAGATCGGCATCAACGAGGCCGGCGGAGCAGCACCGGACACCGAAAAGGCTATCGCCGGTATGCAAACACTGACGACACATCCACCCAGCCATCCATCCACCAAGCCATACATCTGTCTGTGTGTCTCTCTCTGTTTCTCTCTGTGTGTGTAGATGAGTTGGCGAGTGAGCCTGAGGATTTGTATGCGGAGAGTGCGGCCGACCGTCGCGCCAAAGAAGCCATCATCCATGACAAAGAGGCACGCAAGGCAGACGCGGCCAGGGCACGCACCGCGGACTACAAGCGCAAGGCAATCGCACTCGAGCACCAGCTCGAGGCCGACAAGCAGATGCACGACAAACAACTGGCCGCTGAGGTCACACACATGGACAGATACACACAGACAGTCAGCCGTCATCCATCTGTGTCTCTGTGTGTGTGTGTGTGTGTGGTTTAGAAGGAGAAGACGCGTGAAGAGGAGCGCGTGTTGGCAGCTCACGACGCCAGCCTCAAGGCGCAACTCAGGAAGGAGGAACAGCACATCAAAGACATAATCCAGGTGAACAAACAAATCACACACAGGAGAGAGAGTGAGACACAATTATGCATCGCCGTGTGTCTGTCTGTGTGTGTAGGCTGAGGATGAAGAGGCGGCAGAGGAGGAGCAGGCACAGATAGAGGAACAGGCCGCCAGAAAGAAGGAACAGCAACTCAAAAGGAAAGAGGTGAATGACATGTCATAG